TGTATTTTTGTCAATATGGAATGTGGTGTGTACAGTAATGAGGAAATAAAGAATTGAAATTATTTTAGCAAATGGCTGCAATATACCAAAAAGTGAAACATTTAAGGGGGTCTGAATACTTTCCGTACCCACTGTAAGTAAGAGACTGAGAACAATGAATGTGAGGTAAAATTTGTCAGCAGCATAGTAGGCACAATCTATATGCATGCCTAATGTTTGCCCTGCTAAAAAATCCAGCTTAAACCAGCCTAGGATGGCTGGCTGGTTTTAGCTGATCGACCAGCCTGGTTTTAAAGGGGTTTTGGCCACTTCCAGGCTGGTTTCCAGTCATTTCCAGCCTGGTCTTAGCTGGTCAGGCTGGAGAGGGACCAGCTAAAACCATCTAAAACCAGCTTGACAATCCTGGTTTAAGCTGGACATAGCTGGTTTTGGCTGGGCTCCCAGCCTGGCTAGGCTGGTCAAGCTGGTTTTAGCTGGTCATCTCCCAGCCTGTCCAGCTAAAACCAGGCTGGAAATGGCTTGAAACCAGCCTGGAAGTGGCCAAAACCCCTCTAAAACCAGGCTGGTCGACCAGCTAAAGCCAGCCATCCATCATAGGCTGGTTTAAGCTGGATTTTTTCAGCAGGGTGTGGCTACATGTGTACATTTGTGTTTTGATTTGATTTAGTATTACATGTACTTGTAATACTAACCACAATTTGTCCACAAGGTGACAAAACAAAAAAAAAATACAAAAACAGACCATAATATTGAAAACGACAAAAAAAAAAAACATGTTGATGATTGCATTTGTGATACGATCATAAGATATCTGCAACTTTATAATGAATTAGAACGAAGACATTTCTATCAATAACAACTTTGGGATAGACAAAGACATTAGATGATAATGAATCCTTCTAGTATGCTTGTTTTGACCTCATGGGTTTGTGCATACTATTAAAGAGCCCATTTTGATAGGCTGAACTTTCTAGTGCGCTAATGCTAATATATGTCAAAAATATATTTTAAGGGAATGAGTTTAAGGATTAGAGTTAGGGGAATGTTTACACATCTATTGCCATCACCTTGTTTTAATCCGCATTTTGAAGTATCAGATTAGCAAATTTTGAGTAATAAATGACTTATTTTGCAAAAAAAAAAAAAGTTTTAACACTTGCTTGAGGTGGATTTGGACTGCAAATAATGGGAGATGGGAACACATTTGCCAAATCAAATATGGTTTAGTAAACTTTACACCCGTGTGACAAATCAGCTGCCTCTTATGCTTGCTTTGTTTACTGTTGGTTACTAGGTTACCAATACTACAGTTAGCCACTCTAACAACGTATTGGAAACACTCCTAATTTTTCTTTTGTGAACTCTGAAGAAATATACATGTCTAATGGCTAATGATAAATGTTGTCAAATGTTGATCCCAAAACAACCAAAAGTGCACTAAAAATATTGGATTTCTATGTTCCACTATGTTAAGTTTCTTTCCGTTTTGAATTTACACAGGAAATGCATGGGATGCTAAAGTAAAAGTAGTTTTGTTTGTTTGATTTTCTTCTGATTTACTCACACAGAGCAAGGCAGAATATTTTAAATATACTGCAGCCAGCCGCTAGGCGATGCTCGGCTTTACTTTTTAAGACTAGTGAGGCACACTTAGTTATGAAAAAATGTCTTTAAGAACCTTTATACAGTGTGTGTGCTGCCACTGTAAATACTAAAGCCCAAATTTTACATCGCTTTTGCTTGTATGTGAGGGTCTGAAAATAGTGAATGTGAGGTAAAGTGCGTCAACAAAATAGTGCTTTTATATATGCAATAACACTTCCAAAGCACTAGTATGCAGTGAGGTTTTTATGATTCACTGTGTCGAGTTTCTTTCCATGTGTTTTGAACTTAGAAGGGAAATGCATGGGATGCTAAAGTAGCAGTACATTCATTCTGGGAAGAAAAAGGCGGGTGACACCAGCCTCATTCAGCTGCCACATTTATTGGCACCTCCCACACTTTTCACAGCTATACTAAGCAGGCCAATGACAGATCTCGTGCTCTGCGTCGTCGCATTGTAACTTTTTCAAAGGTGAATGTCATTTGTATGTCAGGGTACAGCTAAAGCCTAGTTCACACTACAGGATTTTAAGCCTGATTTGAGCCTGATTTGGAAGCTAACGAGCTCGCCGACAGATCGGGTTGTGATCGGGAAGAAATCTGCGGGTGCACGGCGCTAGCCACTCTTTATGTGTGAACTACTGAACAATGCATCAACGAGGCTCGCTGACGCGTCGCCGACACCTCGCAGACGGAAATCCAACATTTAGCATGCTAAATATTCCAGGGCAGTCGACCAACTCAACCCCACGTGTGGTCCGATGTAGTGACGAGCTGCAGCCAATGAGAGAGCATTTCAGCATGAGCTGAATGCCTGTGTGCTCAGGAGCACAACAGAAACATCTGTGATTGGTCAGAATGGGCATCAACACACTCGCTTCATTCTGTGTTGACACAGACATGAGAGTAGGATATATTAACAGTGGAACTAGAATTCTGTAACTATTAGAATTATACTGGTCATTCTGACCGTTCTCCTATAAAACGCCATGCTGTCACAACATATTTACATTCAAAGCTATTATTGAGATATTAAAATTAAGCTTTGAATGTCTGGCATCATATTTAATGACACCATTACCCTAAAAATATCATCTTTTTTTGGTTATACAGCCTATAAATATGTAGTTTAGATACTAGAACATGCAAAGGTCTTGGCTTTCATTTTCACTTTCAAACAGGAGCTATTTCACGACACAGAATATGCTGTTTTGAAAGATATCTGAAGTAAAACCACAGCGAAAAGTATCAGACATGCATGCAGTCATTTTGACCAATATGGTAATTTAAGGCCGAAATGCTCAGCTCTTTACTGTTTTGTAATAAAAAAAATAACAATGTCAGAAAGAAATACACAGATAGTTAGAAAACGGCAGGGTGTTATAAATATGTTAGTTTTATTTCAAAGAGTTATACAATTACTAAACTACAAATTAGTAACTGCAATACAATTTGAATGAGCTATTGGGGAATGAGTTGTTGTCAGATCATGTAGTGTGTGACCACCCTCTTGTGGATCATTCACAGAGTGTTGTGTAGTGTGAACACCACAGAGATTAAAAGACACAAAGTCAAGTCATGTAGTATGAACGGCACAGCGATCTGCTGATGTTTAAAATCCTGTAGTGTGAACTAGGCTTAAGGGTATGCATGGTATTGAAGGTTTAAATCATTGCTATAAGATCAGCGGTAGAGAATCTATGGCTCCCGAGCCGCATGTGGCTCTTTGACCAAAAATACATGGCTCTCCAGCTGTCGCCCTAATAGCATACAGTTTAAGAATTTTAACCTTCACTGGAAATCAGTGTCCTATTGAAAATACAAGAACAATTTGCTTTTAATTGTATTTAATTTAATTAATTAATTTATTTTTACAGCAAAATGAATAAGAACTCAGTTAACAATTAAAGGATGTTACGATCAAAGCGCTTGTGTGGTGCTGTGGATTGTTTTGAATCGGGACACCAATATAAAGGGCAAACAACTTATGTTGCTATGGTAACCTTGCGCACGTAAATTCACATTTGACGACTTGCTCAGCATACACACCCCAATGGCTTTTTAAAAAAATGCATTTTCAAAAATGCAACTCAGAAATGGCTCTTTGCTGAAAAAAGGTTCCTGACCACTGCTATAAGATGCTACTTCATTATTAATTTGCAAGTCATCATGACTCATCAAACATCATTTAACTCATGCAACGTTACACTAAATCAAGCGCGTGTTTGTGACAAAAACTGATTGTCTCGTCTTTTTTCAGGCTCTGATCCTGCAATTCGACCCAGCTTCACTCGCTCCATCTCTGTTACGGATGAATCGTCACTGAAAAAGATGGGGGTTACGACTCTAGACATTCCAAGCTCTCAGTCCTCCCTCAAGGGTCCTGTGAGATTAAAATCAACCCCAGAATAACACCTGCAATGACCACTGCCAATACCACCTTGACATCTGCCAAATATCTCTCCACTTGGACTGTCTCTTCTAGCAAAAACTGGTTGAAATGAAAACACAATCGTCACTTTCTGCTCACCATTCCCTGCATACCTGTGTTTAATGCAGAGGATGACATTAACAAAAGCACCTTACTAAAGAACGTTAGGTACTATGTCTAAACAGACTGGAGCGAAACCATTCAATTTTCTCCCAGACAAGACAGTCTCTACAAAATGCATTCAACCAATGGTCTATTCACCAGCCTATGAACATGAATGGATGCACATATTCATCCGAGCACAGAATGAAGATGAAGAGGCTCTATTGACATAATGAAACATCCAGCAGACAGTGTCGGTGAAACCCCCTCATATGGATCACGGCGAATGAAAGTGACTAGCCAAAATATCTAGTGGCTTACGGGATATTGAGACTAACCTTTGACCCTGTATCAATACATTGATGGAGCATAATTGATTGTTTAGTCGTGCAGCACATCGTGAGAACTTTATCAATAGTACTTTGGGAGATAAGACTAAAGACAACAGCAGACTGAGCATTATGCATTATTTGACATTGATATCACATCCATCATCTGTCACTTACATGCCACATTCTCTGTTAGTCTCTGTTTTGGTTTGGTTTTTAAGGATTAAAAGGGAATTTGGTATTTTCTGTCATTTGTTAAAGAAATAGTTAAACTGACCTTAACTTACATCTCTGGTTAAGCCAGTTTTGTTGATTAAGCTGTCCAAGCAAACAAAGTAATGTTGAAAGTGCCTCATTGTATATTTTTATAATAAATTTACTAAGGAATGCATGAAATTATATGTACCAGACTGGTCAATATCAAATTTTTACAAAAGTTAACAGGAGGAGTGCCATGACTTTTCACATTCTAAACAATGTTTACTATGAGTTTATGCCATTCACTGTATGTTCGCATCGCTTTGCAACGTATGGAAAACAATAGATGTTAGCCAGGCAAGGTAATAATGTTGCATTTCAGAGGCTGCATCCTTCAAAGGATGCATTCGAAGGGCGCTCTGTCATCATGGAGCTACGAAGGCGGTCTCATTTTAAAAAAATCCGAAGGCTCCTTCAAATGCAGCCTCAAAATGCATCCTTCGTTTTCCAGGTAATAAAGGATACAACTGGTGGATTCTCAGCGGCCTCGAAGATTCATGGCTCACTGATAACAGCAGGACGTTTTTAAAGGAAAACTCTGGTTTAAATGTATGAATTAGGTTTATGATGCATGTTAAGAAACTGTTATACTAATCTGTCCTCGAAAACAAACGTACAGTATCTCCTACTAGGCCGTTCATGCTACAAGGTCAAGATTTGGTCAAAATGTGCCTCAGACTTTAATTAAAAAATGTTGAATATTACATTATAATAATCCGGGCATATAAAAATATATATATACGAGCCCCAAATTTGGCCAAAAGCTGTGTTCTGCATTAGATTTTTTCAGGTTTATCAGACCTAAAGTTTTCCAATATATATTTTTAAGCATTATTTTTCTCAATATATGGCAAGCCATTTTTGAATTAAACTTCATATTTTTACTCATATTACAAGGCATTTTTGCATGCTTCACTTTCACACTTAAGCATTATGTTTACAATAAATATGGCAAGCCATTTTTACACAATATCCAAGTCCAGTTTTTGACTGTCAGAAACATCAGGGTTGATTTATATCTGATTTATATTGATGCAATATCTCTACATCAGAACATTGTAGAGACCTGGGTATTGGCATGTTTGACTCATGCTATCAGATAGCATTGGTTGGGGGGGGTGCTGCAGATCTGCAGAGTGGATGCGCGCGTACTGGAAAACGGTGTTATCGCGCGCTTACTGATCAACTGTGTTGTCGCGCGCGTACTCAAGAGCGGTGTTGTCGCATGCCTACTGAAGGGCGGGACTGAAGGTGTGCCGCGTCGCGGGGGCACTTTTGATCATTTTGGAAGGGCACTTTCTATCCAAGACTAAAAAGGGCATGTGCACTGCACAGGTTGAGCCCTATGTGTGCACGTGCCTGGTGGTATGACATGTCTTACTAAAAAGTGATTTTATAGACAGTTCCCATTTTGTGAGTACATGTATGGATCAAAGGAAATTTACATCCAGTTTTCAGATTCAGACTGCTTAAATTAAGTTTTTAAATAATTTTGAAAAAGCAGCCTCTGAAATGAGACACAGCTAACGTAAAGATGTGGTGTGGCAGGCTTTAGTCTCTCTGTCTCTCCCATTTTCAAAATAAAAGTTCCACATACATAGTAAGTTTAATATAAGTTATATATTTTTAATGGTCTGTTTGTTCAGACCTGTTTCGGCCCTGTTTTTCACCAGAATTTCACACCCACTAGATTAAACACGAAAATGAAGAAACAAAGGTGTTTGAGGCTTATGGTATGTCATTCAATTGAAGTAAACTCTTTTTATTCAGCTATATATTTAGTGTATTGTTAAATAATATCTTTAATTTTTTTTAAGTCTTTTATCTTCACCAAGGCAGAATTACAAACCCCAAATACTGTAAAAAGATAATATTTTTAAATATAATTTACAAGTAGCACTTAAACAGATAGTTCACCCAAAAATATTAATTATATCATCAATTACTCTCTCTTTACTTGTTCAAAACCAGTCCGTGTATCATCCGTTCATTTGATTATTCCTTTTATTACGGAAAACGAAACATCAGAAAAACGATGAATATTTTGTTTTTCTGTTTATTCTGTAGGCAGAAAAAACGAAAACTCATCTGTTATTCTGCTTATTAACTTAAAACGAAATATTAAAACAAAACACAAAACCAAAACGAAATAATGAGTCAAAAAATGGTCCGTGTACGGTCCGTGTACGTTTTGTTCATTTGTTTTCCATTTTCAAACGGAATAAAGGACATGGAGAAAACGGCCGTTTTTCCGTTTTTCTTTTGCTCACGAGAAAACGAAAAAACGAGATTTTGGCTGGATTTTCGTTTTTTGGTTTAGGGTAGGAAAACGGATAAACGACTTAAAAATTCATTTTACACATGTAGGCGGTGCTGAAACGCCCACTTTCCTCTAATTGGTCAACCAAATCTGCGCTCGTGACGTCACCCTCAAAATAAAAGCCTTACACGCAGGCTTTTAATTATTATTATTTAATTATATATTAACTAAGTTTACATATTCTATCATTTGAACCACACACAGTTAGCAGGCTTACATTCATTGCGTATGTATAAATTAAATAAAAACGTAAAGCAGTATTCTTAGACATTTGTCATTAAAATAAGGTCATAGTTCATAGTGCACCTGATGCAGAGCCATTTCCGAGCAGCACCTGGTTTACATGATTGTTTCAGAGCAAGGACTTTATAATAATAATAATAATAATAATAATAATAATAATAATAATAATTATTATTATTATTATTATTATTATTATTATTATTATTATTATTATTATTATCAGTTACTAGTGTTTTTATTGTTTGGTGTGTTTTTTTTCTTTTTAATAGTTGTTAGCAGAACCAGAATAAGAACACTTTGGGCCCTGCTATAAAAACAAAGGGTACCATTTGTTTTCATTTATTTCTTCCTATTTTAATTATATATTGTAATTATTTATTTGATAATTAAACTATTTTATTGCAACGCCAAAGTAGGCCTGTCTTATTTTTTTTATTATAAATTTGCTGTTATTGTAGGCTAGATGGCAGGCTTTAAATATTTTAAATAACATTTACTCATAACCTTACTAATTCGAGAGCCGAACCTAAAAAAGTTAAAGTGCAATAAGCCTGTACAATAAGGAAGCCGCAATGCTTCTAGCGCATTCTTTCACTCAACAATTATTGCTAGAATAATGAAATAAATTTCAAATTAACTAATTAAACACATTATAGTTGCTAAAAAAATTGTGTCTAGTAGTTCCGACAAACAGATGAGCTCGCTACATGTGCGTTGCGCTAATAATTTGACATTTGCTCTTCTTGAGAAAGTGCTACAGCGGGCCCTGCTATTTCACATATAAGGTTAGTGATACGTATTTTAAATTAGTATTGCACATTATTCATTCATTTTCTTGTCGGCTTAGTTCCTTTATTAATCTGAGGTCGCCACAACGGAATGAACCGCCAACTTATTTAGCAAGTTTTTTCGCAGCGGATGCCCTTCCAGCCACAACCCATCTCTGGGAAACATCCACACATACACACACACTTATACAGTACGGACAATTTAGCCTACCCAATTCACCTGTACCGCATGTCTTTGGACTGTGGGGAAAACCGGAGCACCCGAAGGAAACCCACGCGAACGCACTACACTACTGAATTAGACACACAATCTCAAAAAAAAACTTGATGCTTATTTACATTATCTAAAGTCATTTCTTACGAGGTAGGATCTGTTGTTGTATTATATATTTTCGTTTTAATATGCAAATATTTTTTTTTAATTTGTAATAGGCCTATTGTCCCTCATTGCATAAAATAACCAGCCTTTGTATTCAATATGTTTGTAAATTGTCCATCCAGTTTGACGCAAGCTAAACAACATTTTGGCCTGGTTTGCTTATTAAATGAGTGATTTTCACGGAGAAACAAATCATCCATCCACACAGTTTTGTATAGGACCTGTGTGAACAAAAATATACACTTCATCATAGCCTATAGGAAAATGTATCTGTTTAGAACCAATTTTGTGTTGTATAATTAAAAATATTAAAAATGCAATAAAAAAAAGGAATAACATTTGAAGTGCAATGCTTCAAAGATCCAATATGCTGCATGCAGAGCCAAAACAAAAACTGGTTTGTTTGTTTAATAAAATAATAATATGAAATTAAAGTGAAATAGTTCCATAACCTGTATTATAACTGTAGTCACTCTAGATGACACATCATCCGTTGCGCCGGTCAGTTTCACCTTTAATCAAGAATGTGCCAGAACCAAATGAGAATATTTACAGATTACCTCGGAATGAGACCTCGGTCTGTGAAGGATGCAGAACACAGAAACTCGTTGATAATGGAGATGCATGTTAGATGTTTTATATCCCTTTAGATATTGTAAATAAACAACAAGTTTTTATAGAGATGTGTCATGTCTTTTCTTTGACGCACGCGCTGAACAGCCCCGAAAAGGCGCCTTTATTTAGCCTGTAGCCTAAATAATAGTTTAGATTTTATAACATATAATGTTCCATTACTTTAAATGTATAATGTTTTTTAATATTTATGGATTATATAAAATAGATAGTTTATATAAATGCGCTCTGATCATTCAAGGATCATAATGCGTTGCATATTCTTCTTATTCTTCATTAGGCTTGATCCGTAAATTGTGTATTTTATAAACTGATCGTTTATAAGGACTAAGCTATTAATAACTGTAATTCCTCGAATGGAAAAGTCTTGATTAAAGAAAAAGAGAACTTAATTCGACATATGCATATGCGCTTATTTCTGCGCGCATCGCGCGCTTTACCGAATTACCTTTTTTATTTTTTATGCACTATAAATGCATCTGGCAGCACCGAAAAGAGCAAATGCCAAGTTATTAGCGCAGCGCACAGACAGCTAGCTCGTCTAGTCTGAACCAGGGGTTTTCAAACTATTCATTGCACACCGATCCCATTGCATTTTATTTAGGATAAACCACTTATTTAAAATTAATTAATTAAAAGGTGCGTACTCTCGAATACACCACTGAATTATAGTGTCATAATATTTAATAATTATAATTAAGATAGACACCTGACCTCCATTTAATAAACAATTTATTTGCCATACTCTGTTAATTTGAAGTTTAAAGTTTAAATCATT